TCTCACCTATTTTGGTCATGTTGTCAGAAGATACCATTCCCTGGAGAAGGATGTCAATGCTTGGTAGGGTGGAGGGTCGACGAAAGAGGGGGAGACCTTTAATGAGATGGATTGACATGGTGGCTGCGATGATGGGATCAAGTATAGCGGGGATTGTGGGGCTAGCGTGGGATCTGCGATGATGGGATCAAGTATAGCAGAGATTGTGGGGCTGGCGCGGGATCAGGCAGTGTTTCGTTCTGCTGTGCATGGGGTCACTATGAGTCGGAAATGACTCGACGGCACTTAACAACAACAACAACAACAAAATAATACTGTGATGAGCATGGGTGTGCATATGTCTATTTGTGTCACAGCTCTTACTTCTCTAGGATATATACCTAGGGGTTGGTTTGCTGGATCGTATGATATTTCTATTTCAAGCTTTTTACAGAACAATCATACTGTTTTCCACAGTGGTTTAATATTCTTTCTCCTGCCAGGAATGTATAAAATTCCAACCGCCCCATACCGTTACCAGCACTTCTTATTCTGTTTTTTTTTTTTTTAATTGGCATCATTATTGCCAGAGTGAGATGGTATCTCACTATTCTTTTGATTTGCATTTCTCTAATGGCTAATGATTATGAGCATCTTTTCATGTATTTGTTAGCTGACTGAAAGTCTTTGGTGAAGTGCCTGTTCATGTCCTTTCCCCATTTTTTAATTTGATTGTTTGTCTTTTTGTTGTTAAAGTATTGATGTTTTCTATACATTTTAGAAATTATACTCTTGTTGGACATGTCATTACCAATTTTTTTCCCCAACCTGTAAGTTCTCTTTTTACTCTTTAAGAGAAGTGTTTTGAAGCACATAAGTATTTAATTTTTAGGAGGTGCAAGCTATCTGCTGTTTGTGCATTTTTAGTAACATTTTCTAGTATATTTACACCATAAATTAGGGCCCCTAGGTTTGTCCCTGTTTTATCTCATGAACTTTATAGTTTTAGGTTTTAAATTTAGATCTTTGATCCATTTTGAATTTGTTTTTGTGTATGGTGTGAGGTATGGATCTTTTTTTCATTTTTCTTCAAATGGATATCCAGTTTTGCCAACACCATTTATTAAAGAGACTATCTCTTTCCCATTTAATGGACTTCATCCCTTTCTCAAAGATCCACTGTCCATAGGTAGATGGATTTGCTTCTGAATTCCCACTTCTGTTCCACTGGTCTATGTATCTGTCATTGAACAAGAACCAGGCTGTTCTGACTACCTTGGCTGTATAGATCAGGAAGTGTGAAGCCTCCTACTTTGTTCTTTTTCTTCAGTAATGTTTTACTTATCCAGGGCCTCTTTCTTTTTCCTATAAAGTTGGCGTTTAATTTTTCCTTCTCGTTAAAGAATGCTGTTGGAATTTGGATCAGGAATGCATTTTTAATCTGTAGATCACTTTGGGTAGTACTGACATTTTCACAATGTTAAGTCTTCCTATCCATGATTATGGTATGTTTTTCCATTGATGTAGATCTCTTTTGGTTTTTTGCTGTAGTGTTTTGTAGCTTTCTTTTTATAAGTCTTTTATTTCCTTAGTTAGGCTTATTCCTAAGTATTTTATCTTTTGGAGGGTTATTGTAAATGGTATTGTTTTCCTGGTTTCTTTTTAGGAGTTCTCTTTGCTGATATAGGGGAATCCAACTGTTTTTGGGGGAGCTCTGGTAGCATAGTGCCTAAGGCACTTGACTGCTAACCAGAAGGCTGGTGGCTCAAACCCACTGCTCGGAAGGAAGATGGGGCAATCTACTTCCATAGTGATACTGCCTCGGAAACCCAAGGAGGGGTCAGTATGAGTGGGGTCTGACTTGACGGTACATAACAACAACAACAACAACTGATTTGGGGGTTGATCTTGTGCCCTACCACTTTGCTGAATCCTATTAGTTCAACAACAACAATAATTAGTTTCAGTAGCTTTCCTGTGATGGAAATGCAATATTATCTTAAAAATTAAGCATTTTTCCTTCTCTAAAAGAGCTAATAATAAGTTTTAAAAAGTAGAGATGGCATCTAGAGAAGAAATTTTAGGTAATTTTGACATTTTATATGGAAAATAGCTTCTAGCTATATAATACCTTAAAAAGTCAAATACAGTGAGCATTATCATATTGACAGTGGATTCAATAGGTGAAACAATTATAAGACTGGTCATCACATTAGTAGGTAATTTATTTTCCTATGTGGATCAAGAACTTGTTTGTGATCTCAGGTTCAGTCCCTTGTGTTAATTAGAAGTAAGTACTGTAATAATTAGATGTAAATATACTCTTAGGACCTCTGGTAGCATAGTGTCTAAGGCACTTGACTACTAACCATAAAGCTGTCGGTTCAAATCCATCAGCCACCCCTTGGAAGGAAGGTTGGACAATCTACGTCCGTAGTGTTACCCAAGGAGGGGTCACTATGAATTGGACCTACTCAATGGCAATGAGTTTTTTTTTGTTGTTTGTTTGTTTGTTTAAATATACTCTTAGAATCTTCAAGCATAGACATAAAGTCTCAGAATTCCAAGTTGTGATTTACATATTATTTCTAAGCAGCCACAGAGCTAACTTGGATTCTTTCTGGTCTTGATAACAGATGGGAATGTGGCTAAAGGGCATGGTAGGTTCTGTTATTAGTGAAAATCTGGAGATAGTTGTGTGAAAATTGGCAAGTCATGGTGACAAGTCCTTCAGATTATATAAGATTATATACTACCTGGGAAGTCTTGTTTTGCCAAATAAAATTTAAAAAGGTACTTGAATATTTATTGTATTAGTCCGTTATTGTGAAAGTTAAGGAAAGGTTTATATATTGGAGGACATTTTCTTTGTTGGTTACCAGGGGTGGGAGGGAAGGGGAGGGAATGCTGTTAGATAGATAGAGATAAATATTGATTTGGGTGAAGAGAAGGGCAATGTACCAAATGTGAGTGACCAATATGGCAGCATTGAGGATGAGAAAGACAGAGAGAGTTACATGGGCAGTACAAACAACAAATATGAACCCCTTTGCAAATACAATACTGAGTTGTCAATGAAAGCAAACATGGGTATAGGGACGGATAGATGGGTGAACAAGCTAAACAATTATGTATGTCTAAATGGAGAGTGTATCCAAGATCATATACAGGGTTGGCAGACAATGGGCCTCTCAGGGTGCAGAAGAGTATGAAGGGATGGACACTGGGAGGAGGTAACTATGGGGAGGAAGTGGGAGGGGAGCTGCTGCATTGTAAATTTTGGTCAATGACATGAGACAAAGTATATGTGAACTGCTGTATGAAAAGTGAATTTACTCTGTAAATCTTCACCCAAATCCTAAAAAAAAAAAAAAAAAAAAGGTACTTGAATATTTGAATACCATGAAAATACAATAGATTTTTAAAGAGGTAAGGCACAGTGATTATGACAATCTTGATCTAAATATTATCTTTTGTTTCCTTTTTAGATTACAGTGTATCTGCAAACTCCAAATTAGTTATTGTCACAGCAGGTGCACGGCAGCAGGAGGGAGAAAGTCGCCTTGCCCTGGTCCAGCGTAATGTGGATATTATGAAAACAATCATTCCTCCCATAGTCCGTCATAGTCCCGACTGTAAGATACTTATTGTTTCAAATCCAGGTGAGTTTCTTTTCCTCCTTTCTACTATATACCACACTTTTTAGAAAGTAAATTTATAAAGGTATCATTTATGAATAATAATGATAATAATAATAATAAAACAAAACACACTGCCGTCAAGGGGGATCCAACGCATAGTGACCCCTCCTTGGGTTTCTGAGGTGGTATCACTATGGAAGTAGATTGCCCAGCCTTCCTTCCGAGGAGTGGCTGGTGGTTTGAACTGCCAGCCTTCTGGTTAGCAGTCAAGTGTCTTAGGCACTACGCCATCAGAGCTCCCTTATGTCTAATAAATAACACCCATTTAAATTGTAAAATCCAATGAGTTTAGATATAGATATAATCATTCATTTAAACCAATACCATAATCAAGATATAGAACATTTATATAGAACCTCTGAAAGTTTTCCTGTGCTCCTTTGCAGTCCTTCACTGCAACACTGGCCTCATTTTATATGAATGGAATCCTACTGAATATAATCTTTTCTGTCTGGCTTCTTTTATTCAACATAAGTATTTGGGTTTCATCCATGTTGTTCAGTGCTCAGAAATTTGTTCCTTTTGCTGAAGAGCAATTTTTTTTTGTTTATACATTTTAAGTACTCTTTGGTTTATCCTTTCACCTGTTGACCTGTTGATGGATATTTAGGTTATTTCCAGTTTTTGACTGTTTTAATATTTAAATTATAAATACATATGTCTTCATTTCTCTTGAGTAAATACTTGGGAGTAAAACAGGTATGTCATATATATATGTGAAACAACAAAACACACTGCCATCAAGTCAGATCTGAATCATAGTGACCCTCCTTGGGTTTCCGAGGTAGTATCACTACCAAAGTAGACTGCCCAACCTTCCTTCTGAGGAGTGGCTGGTGGATTTGAACCACCAGCCTTCTGGTTAGCAGCCTAATGCCTTAGGCACTACACCTATATATATATATGTTGTTGTTGTTATGTGCCATCGAGTCAGCCCCAACTCATCACAACCCCTCCTTGGGTTTCTGAGGCATTATCACTATGGAAGTAGATTGCCCAACCTTCCTTCCAAGGAGTGGCTGGTGGGTTTGAACCGCCAGCCTTCTGGTTAGCAGTCAGAT